CCTCCCTAATGTCATGGTCCTCTTCAAGAATGATGGACAAATCACACACACAATGTATGTGTGCACACATGTGTATATGTTTATGTGTATATACATGTGTGTATGTTTTGCATATGCATACGTGTGCATGTGTGTTTGTGTAAATATGATTGTGTTTGTGCGTATGTATACAAACACATGCATATATAAATATGCATATACATATATATATATATATATAATCTATATTGGGAGTCACAAAGCAGACAAACAGCTCCATCCCTGACCTCAAGAAGCCTATAATCAAGCCGGGGTGCTGACAAGCCCCCAAGTGAGTAGATGAGGCAGAATCCAGATAAGGGGAAAGGAAGCTTGATGTAGAGCCATAAGATATTGGATAAGAAAGGAGGCATCACTTTTAGCCAGAGAAATCAGGGAAGGCTCCATGGAGAGGAAGCCCATTCTAATCTTCAAAGGCAAAAGAATAAAATAATAAAAATAAAAAGATGCACAGGGAACACCCTCCAAGCATGGGGGAAGAGCCATGCCTGAAATATGGTAACATTCACTCCCCACCAAACCAGCTGAGGAAGTATTGTCCAACTCTGCAGCATTGGGGAGTTCGAGGGACTGCGACCTAAAACCCACCAAAGGCAAGTCCTCGATTGCCTACCCCCATTATCTAATCTGGGCCCTAAAATCAGCACTTTGAGGATCCCACCATTTCAATAAAAGCACCCAGACCAGAGAATAAGACAATCCAAATGCCTGCAGCCATGCTCTGAGGGCAGAACCAGGAGCAGGAAGGCACATATAGCCTTGAGGGCAGGAAAAATTTCTTAATCAACATCCAAGGTTTTATTCAGCACCATATGTATGCCTGATACCAAGGTAGGTGCTGGGAATGCAAAGACATAATGAATTCAGCATCAAACATGACGCCAATTAGTAACTGTCAAGATTCCCTTTGCTCTCACATGTTGCTAGGCTACAGAACTTAGAAATGTGTACTAGATTAGCAAGAGGAAAAGCAAATCACAGAATCCTGGTGCCCGAAGGGACCTCAGACACCAAACACACAAGCCATGGCTCCTGGTGCCTGGCATACAATCACACGACAAGTCAACAAGCATTTATTAAATGCCTACTATGTGCTTGGCACTGCACTTGGCACCAAAGATACAGAAAAACAGAAATATAGCCCTGCCTGTCTAGCAGCTCACACATTACACGTTTCATCGCTCTTCTGTAGCTCTCCTTCCAGGCACCAACCCCCTATGTATCTACCTAGCTACCTACTTACTTAGCCACCTATACCTGAACAAGAGGATGTTATCATTTCCTAGCTGGGTGACCCTGGCTGGGCAAGTTACTTCACTTTTTTGCCTCAGTTTCCCCATCTGTAAAATGGGGATAATGAGAGCACCTACCTCTCAGGGCTATTGTGAGAACCAAATGAGATGATAATTGTGAAGTGCCCGGCACACAGTAAGTACCATATCACTGTTAGCTATTACTAGTTATTAGTATTATCCCACCCCTATTTGGAGAGTTCCAGCAAAGGGACACAAGACCCTGAAGCAGCCCATTCCCCTTGGGCAAGGTTCTCACCTCCGGAATCTTGTCCTAACAGAATCACCAGACCTCCTTTTCCTCTCAATAATGTTCCAACCCGTCCCCCTTATTCCTGGCTCTGTCTTCTGGGGCCCAGACAAACAAATCCACAGACCTGGGAATGTATACCTCAAAACCTGCCAGCTGCTTCAGCTGTTATGTACCTTAATGCATTTTTATGTTTATTAAGAAATTCCTGGCCTCCTCAGTGGCCTCCATTCAAGCCCCTCCCTGGTGTCTGGCAGCATGCCCATGGGCTATTTCTACTACCCTGACGGTGGGGGGAGGAGGGGGTCTCTCTGGGTCCTGTTCAGCAGAGGTTGGCAGGCCTTCAAGCTGTCAGCCTGAAGGGCAGCAGCAAGACTGGCGTCTCCTGGTTCTGCCAAGTGAGTGTGCAGAGAGAAATGCACAGCATGCCGAGCCTGGGTGCCAACCTAGAAGGCATGTCGGGGGGCTCACTGATCTCAATCAGCTGTTTCTATCTGACCAACTGGATAACTTTCTCCAAGCATGAAAGGGCACTCTGGAATCTGAAACTAGTATGAAGATAAGCTTCTCCCCCAGAAAGTGATCTCCAGTGGTACCTGTGGCTGCTGAAAGGTGAGAGGAAACATTGGCATTTCCACCCCCAGTAATTATCCTGCCAATGTGAGTACAGAATAGCCTCACAGGGAGTAGGCCCAGCAGCCAGGTGATTTGCTTCCCAGAGACACTAAAATCAGAATAGAAGAATATGAAACGAGCTTTACATTTCCTCCTGCTAAGAATTTAACCAACCACATCTTTGTTTAGCCAAGGCCTCATGGGTAATGTCTGCAGCCCACATCGCCAGGCCAACATGTAAATATATGTCAACATTTTGATTTATATACTATGGATGATCTGTTTACACACAGAGAGAGAGAGACACACAAATTATAGCTCTTTGGTGATTTGAAACTCAATATACTTGAAGGAGAAAGAATTTAGTAGTGAACTCCAAGGAAAGGTTAAATACAAGAGTGTGTTTCCTACCATCAGAATGAACCTCGGGCCCCCAAATGTCAAGCCGACTGACAGCTTTCTAGAACTCTGTCATACCATGAAAACTCACATCAGAGCTACAGAATCTTGTTACAACTTGGTGAAAATTTTGTTTCTCAGGTTGCTTCCTAGCTTTGTCCAGTCCAAACACAATAATGAATGAATGAGGAATTCAAATACAGGAAATTAAGAGTCTCTGCCCTCAAGGAACTAACATTCTAGCGGGAGAAGACCACACAGAAAGGAGAAAGGGGGACAGGACGGAAAGAGAGAGAAAGAGCATTTATTAAGCACTTATTGTGTGCTATGCACTATGCTAAGTGATGATATGAATAGACAGGAATAAAAGAAGCAAGCCAGTCCCTGCCTTCAAAGAGCTTGCATTCTAATGGGATAAGAATACACAGAAAGGGCAGCTAAAAAAGCACAGGGGGAGGGAGGAGTTGCTATACAGGAGAGCTAGCTTCTGGGCCACGTGACAATAGCCAGAATGTAGACAGCATGGTGTGGAGATGGCCAGGAAGTGCCATGATAGGTGCCCAGACAGATAAGGCTGAAGCTCTGCCAGTGTCCCAGAAGCACTGTCTAAGGTGCTGGTGAAAGAGGAGTGAAAACGATGGCCAGAGGACCAGCAGTATGTTTTGAAAATGGATGGAAACTGACACTGAGGCCTGATTCCTACTTATTACAACATTTCTCCCTTGTTCACCTATCGTTTAGCCATCATGTATGAGTTGACTCTACTGAAGGTGGAAGTTCGCAGACTAGACAGATGGGGCCAAATCTGTTTTAGACTTTGGAAGGGGACAGCTCTCATCTGTTAGTGAACAAAGAGAAGTAGCTTTCACCAGGGCCTCACAGTGGACTCTTATCTTCTACAACCTTCCCCAACCTTGAAAGCATAATTCATTCCTTTAAAAAAAAGCTTTCAATTTCTCCAAAGTCAAAAGTGTAAATTGAAGTAGAGATATTGAATAAGACTCCTCCTTAAGGGGCATTCTTATGGCCTGAATGGGAGAATCTCCAGGTACAACCCCTTTTGTACCCCTGCCCCCAGCACCTAGGACAGCACTAGCCACATAGGCATTACGGAAGCAATACTTGTTAACTGACTGATGTCATCATCCTAGGTGTCTATGTCTAAACCATGATATAAAAGGGGAAAAATGAATGAAATAGAATCAAAGAATTAGAAAATTTGAGTTAGAAGGGATCCCAGGGGAAATCTGGCCCAAGTCCCACCAAAAAGGACTCGCGATGACAGCACATTGGTCACTCTAACACCTCTGGCCTGAGGGCCTTTGAAGGAGGAAGGCGGGACCTAGAGAGGCAGCCCATTGTTGGAAGGTTTTCCTGACAACTCACCTCATTCAGCCCCTATAAAGCTGCCTCCCATCATGCCTGGTTTTGCCCTCTGAAGCCAAGCAAAACAAAAATCAAATCTCTCTTCCAATGTCAGCCCTTCCGGTTACCTGAAGACAGCTAGCATGGCCCTTCTTCACTCCCCCAGAGTCTTCCTCCTCCAAAAGCTCCTGCTCTTCACATGTCACAGGCTCAAGGCCCTGGTTTTTCCAGGTTCCTCCTCTGATTATGCTATGGCCTGTCATTATTCCTCCTAAAACATGGCCCTCAGAATTGAGGAATCATCGAATGTTGGCACCAGAAGGATCCTTCAAGGTCATTTATTCTAACTCCCCCTTCCTACAGATGAAAGAGTAAGACCCACCAAGGTTAAGTTGGCTTGCCCTGGTCATACATTAATTTAGTGGCAGAGTGGGAAATAAAACCCAGATCTGATGCCAAGGCTAGTGTTCTTTCCATCAGACCATGCCGATAATGGAAAAGGAATACCTATAGAGGAAACAACACCATTTACGTGACCTCAAAAACACAAAGTTCCAGATAGAAGGTTAGGGCTCAGAGAATTTCAGAAGTCTCTAATGTCCAGCTCTTCACAGGGTAGCATTTATTCTCTCTCTCCCTAGAAATGATGGGAAGCAAAACATTTCATGTATTGGCAAGGGGCTATGGCTTTATTTGCTAATATCTCACCACTCAAAAGCATCAATGAAATATCTGAAAAATCCATTTAAAAACTATCCATTTTGTGTGTTTTGATCATTCTCAATTGTCTCTCCTTTTGTGAATGTACCATAATTCTAAGTCTTTCCAAAGCCACAAAGATTTCTTCCACAAATTAAGAACTATGAGCAGCCAACATGCTCACCACTCTCTTGTCAAATAACAATAAGACCATGCTAGCTTGGCTGCCAGCTGGCACGTCTATTTGTTACTGGGAGTCAAGACTGAAACTTCCATGATGAATTCTGACCTCACCTCCATTTGGGAAACACGAGAAATGACTGCTACAAGGACAAACATACCTTTAATTATGGATTCCATAGCATACAGATCTCGTCTGTAGGTCACCTAAAGGACAGAAAAACCTCATTAGACTTCACAGAGCAGGAAGGAACGTACAACCAATAAAACAATGCCCTAGAGCACATTCTTGATACCAGAAGGGCTAGAAACCAATGATAATGTCAATGTTTCAGTTATATAATAAATATCACTGGCAATCCACATGAAAAAAATTATTTCTGAATTCTTCAGAAAGAGTTTGAAGACTGTTTTCAAGCCTTTGGACATTCAGAGAATTTATATGGCAGCAGTCACAAAATGTTTATTAATAAGAGAAATTTTTTCTAAATATTTTCCACAAACCCTGGAAAATGAGTTTAGCAGTCATTAAGCCAGCATTCAGAAAACCATGTTTGGGGTATCATTATCCAAAAGCAAGCTCTGATGACAAGGAAATGTCAGCATCACAAAAATCACCAGACTGTTTACTTAATTGGAATGAAATGCTTCTTACATGTCGATCCCACATAAAGGAGAATTTCAGCCTGGAGAGAATGCTCCCATGAATATTCAAATTAGGATCACAAAGCTTGGAAACCTTGAGGTTCACAGATATTCTGAAAATGTGGCCCAGAGGAAATAAGCAGAGACCACAGCAAGACGTCTACCACAAGGCGGCGGAAGCTTTGGTTACGACTTCTCCATAGTTACCTACAATGCACACAAGGAAAGGCTCGGGTCTCCCAAGGTCCTAGCTATGTGTCCCTGAGCTGGAACAGTCAGAACAGGTGACATTTATGGAGCACTTGAAGGTTTGCAAAGCACTTTACAAATATTATCTCATTTCATCCTCAAAACAACCCTGGGAGGGAGGTACTATTATGATTAAAAAATAGGAGGTAATTCCCAATTACTATTAGGTCTCCATTTTACAGATGAGGAAACTGAGGCTCAGGGCATTAAGTAACTTGACAGGGTCACAACCATAAGTAGCTAAGATTCAATTTAATCAGTCTGCCAAATGGGGTCATGGGAAGTCAGACCCAATCGACATGACCAAACAACAATGAGGTGTCCAGTTCCAGATGTCTAACAGGCAGCTGGAGATGCAAGATGGGAAGTCAACAAAGAGTGACCTCTGGATAAATAGGTTGGATATGGAGATTTGAGAACCATTAGTATAAGGATGATCACTGAATACATGGGAGCTGATGAGATCACCAAGTGAAACAATATAGAGGAAGAAAAGACAGAGCCCTGTGGGACATCCACCACCATGACCTGGATGAGAATCCAGCAAAGGAGACTGAGAAAAAATAGTCAGATAGGATAGAGAGCTGGAAGAGAGGAATATATACAGAGCGTTCACACACACACACACACACACACACACACACACACACACACAAAAACAGTTGAGGAAAGATCCCTTAGGCATTCCATTTGAAGCCTCCTTCCAAGGTGACCTTGGACCATAAACGACCACTCTTTAGATCATTCAGTCAATCATAAATCATCTTTTCATATCCGAACAGTTAGAGTTCTGAACAGTAGAGAACAAAATGACTATCATTAAAATTACTTTACTATCACTAAGTAAAAAGAGCCTTTAAAAACAGTGCTGAGCACTGAATATATAAGCATGTTATTATAAAAGTGAGTCTTAATGTTCAATTTGACATTAGCTGAAGGCAGCCTTATGAGCAAGAGATTGGCTTCTTTCCCTGAGGCTATTTTCCCCTTTCACATTAGATAATTAATGATATAAACAAGAAAGACAGCTAAATTGCTTTTCTTCTATAGATTCTGGCCTATAAACTTTTACATGCCTACCATACACAGATTAAGTCTTCTTTGATTTTTATTAAAAATCCTGTATGAAAAGCATTGTTGGATTCCTTAATTACCCTTCTCAACATCCATATGTTGGTTTAATTAAAATAAATTATACCAAAAGTCTGAAAAAATATTAAAGGCACCCATGGTGAGACTGATACTACTTATTTCCACAAAAAGCACCAAATATAATGTCTATCCTCCTAGATACTAAAAATATAAATAAAAGAAATGAATGAATGAATGAATGCATTAACAAGGACCTGTGATTTTGTCTAAGTGGAAACTTCCCCCAACAAAACAGATTTCAACCCACCTGTGCCTTTTTAGTCTTAGAGAATTACCTGAGGCTCAAGTAGGTTGAGTGACTTAGCCAGAGTCATACAACTAGTAAGTTTCAAAGGCAGAAATTTGAACTCAGCTCTTCTTGACTCCAAGTCCAACATGCTCTACATCTAGTATTTCTGTAGTGCCTGGAAGTTAGGAAAAACACTTTACAAATATTATCTCCTTTTATCATCACAACCCTGGGAGGCAGGTGCTATTATTATCCCCATTTTACAGATGGGGAAACTGAGAGTGGGACAAGTTAAGTAATTTCCCCAGGATCACATAACTAGTAAATGTTCAAATCTGAATTGGAGCTCCGGTCTTCCTCAAGCCCAATACGCCATCCACTGCACCACTTAACTGCCTCATTCTACATTTCATACGATATATAGGCATATTTAATTTGTAACTGCGTGTTTAGACATATATTAAATACATATTATATAAACATATTGTGTGTATGTATATATAGATAGATATAGATATAGATATAGATAGATATAGATATAGACATGCATACACACACATATACTGGGGCAGCTGGGTAGCGCACTGGGTAGAGTGCCAGGCCTAGAGTCTGGGTTTTTAAAAATATTTTTATTGCTATTTTCTGTTTCTTACATCACCATATGCCTTTCCTGCTCCCCAAAAACCATCCCTTTGACAAATAGTGGAGGGGTTTTAGAGAGGAAAAGAATTTTTATTTAACTAAATATTTCCCAATTACATGTAAAAATTTTTAAAAATCATTTTTTAAAATTTTGAGTTCCAATTTATGAAAAAATATTCTCCATCAGAGGAATGATGAACTCTGAATGCAGACTGAGGCATACATCCATGATCCTGCTTTACTGGCCTCCTTCTTGGTTCTGATCAATGAGGCTCCATCTCCTGGCTTCCTTTTCACTGAAACTCGCCTTCATTCCCCAAGGCCCGGGAAGGCTCTCCCTCCCCACCTCTGCCTCTTGTCTTCCGTGGCATCCTTCAAGACTGACACAGATCACACCCTAAGTCAGACAGCCTTTCCCAGTTATCTCACTGGCCAGGGACTCCCTCTCTAAGATGACCTTTCATTTATACTACATATGTTGTCCTTCCATTAGATTAGGTTTTTTTTTAAATCATTCTTATTGATATTTTCTGTTTCTTACATCACCATATGCCTTTCCCTCTCCCCAAGAACCACCTCATGTAACAAATAGTGGAGGGGTTTTAGAGAGGGAAAAAATTAATTATTTTTATTTATTTAATTAAATATTTCCCAATTACATGTAAAAAAATTTAAACAATCATTTTTTTTTAATTGAGTTCCAATTTATCTCCCTCCCTTCCACTTCTTTCTCTCCTTGAGAAGGTAAGTAATTTTATTTTGTGAGGTCATGTAAAACATATTGCCATGTTAGCCAAGTTGCAAACAAAATAAAACAATAAGAATAAAGAATTTTTTTTCTTAAAATTACACTTTGATCTGCATTCAGAGTTCATCAGCTCCCTCCCTGGAGATGAGGAGCATTTTTCATCATGGGTCCTTTGGAGTTGTCTCGGATCACTGTATTCCTGAGAACAGCACAGTCATTCACAGTTGACCATATAGCATTGCTGTTACTATATACAGTATTCCGGTTCTGCTCTCTTCACTTTACATCAGTTCATATAAGTCTTCCCAAGTTTTTTCCTTTTTTTCTGAAATTATCTTGTTCATCATTTCTTATAGCACAATAGTACTCCATCACAATCATACATTACAACTTGTTCAGCCATTCCTCAATTGGTAGGCATTGCCTCAATTTCAAATTCTTTGCCATAAGAAAAAAGAAATGCTATAAATATTTTTGTACAAATAGGTCCTTTTCCATTTTCTTTGATCTCTTTGGGATACAGACCTAGTAGAGGTATTGCTGAGTCAGAGGGTATGCACAGTTTTATAACCTTTTGGTTGTAGTTACAATTGTTTCTCTAGAATGGTTGGAGTAGTTCACAACTCTACAAACAATGCAATAGTTTCTTTTATGTACAGAGTTGATACATGTTGATTGCCATCAGAATGTGAGCTACTTGAGATAAAGGTCTATACTTTTTCTCTTCTGTGTATCCTCTCTCAGCACAGTGCTTGCTTAACACATAGTAGGTGCTTGATAAGGGCTTACTGACTGATGTGATCCTACTACCTGTGATCTTATCCAAATGGCCAGGAAACTCCTTCTTATAGAGAAGAAATGAGCCTTACATGATAGGAGGTTTTCCATTTGGCCAGTTCTACTTTTTAAGTCCTTTTCTTCAGTAAATTCTATCAAAAGGCAGGCAGCATCTTTCATCATGAGTCTTTTGGAATTGTGGGAGATCATTGTGTTGATCAGAGTTACTAAGTCTTTCATCATTGATTATCTTTACAATATTGCTATTACTGTGCACAATGTTCTCCTGGTTCTACTTACTGTACTTTGCATCAGCTCATATGAGTTTTCGCAGGTTTTTCCAAAACCATCTCCTTCATCATTTCTTACAACACCATTTTAAAAAATAATAAAATAAAATAACACATCACTCCATCACATTCAGGTACCATCACTTGTTCAACCATTTTCCAAATGATGGGTAACCCTTCAGTTTCCAAGTCTTTGTAACTCAAAAAGATCTGTTATATCCATTTTTGTACACATGGGTCCCTTTTCTCTTTCTTTGATTTCTTTGGGTTATAAACCTAGCAGCGGAATCACTGGGTCAAAGGGTATGCAGAGTTTAATAGTTTTTTGGGCATAGTTGCAAATTGCTTTCCAGTATGGCTGGAGCAGTTCACAGCTCCATCAACTGTACTTTGGTGTTCAAGTAGTTCTTGTGTGTGTCTTAGAAGGTATACTCCCAAGGAGTTTATACTGTCTATAGTTATTTTAAATGAAATT